GAGAGCCCGTCTCAAGGAAGCGAGCCTCCGAAACCGGTAGCAAGCCTGAGTTTTGTTGGGGCTCTCCCCAACGCGCCAAGTTCGCTTGGCCTGGCCGAAAGCCGTCTTCGTATCTCGCACGGTAAGCCGAGAGTTGCTGGGGTCTCCCCAGCGCGTCGAGTTCGCTCGATCCGACTCCGCCGTTCCCGAGATTTCACCGCCGAGTATCGGGGTTCTCCCCGATATCACCTCTCCGAGCACCAGGGTACACCCTGGTCGGCCGAGTACACTCGGCACCGCCACTTTCTTCTCCGCACACAGCTGGGGCCCTCCCCGGCTGGCCGAGTTCACTCGGCATTCAGACAGACAGACGAGGGGCGCACCCCCCGTCAGCCGAGCCCTCTCGGTAGGGAACGGGCCCACCCGTTCTCCGATCTAAACGATCCGCCGATCTCGCGAAATATCCACCCTCGCGACAACACCCGCGACACGCGTGCACGTTTAAATCCACGCCGATTTAAAGGTCCGCAACGAACACGTGCGACACCGCCGCCGCCGCGCGCGCCCCGCACCACCGAACTGCGCGCCGCGATCAGTATCGCGCCGACCGCCCGAGCGATATCTTATTTTATATTCACGCGCTATCCGCGCGCCGATCGCCGTCTCGCCCGTCCACGGCCACGAACGTTAACGCGAAGATTCGGTGCATTCCATCGCACCACTATTAGTCAAATAAAACATCGTTATTTGTTATAATTATCGCCTAACAATTTAATAACACCTTTCTGTCTCCAACGTCCTCCCTTCCCCTCCTGGTAACCGACTGACCGCTCTCCGCGCGGGAAAGCGAGACCGTTTTAATCTTATATAAGAAATATGTGCTAACATTTTTATTTTCAATTGAATTTTCTTAAATAATGTGAATATTTTGATGCTTCACATAAATATACGTGCTATAAAGTAACAAAAAATTTCAGATCAGCAAAATGGATCGCAAGTGTTCGCAGAAAATGATACCCGAGCTACAGGAAGATGGCGAGGTGAGGCTGGTCTTTTGGCGACTCCACCAGATGGACATTTTCCGAAACAAAATATTGGTCCAGTTAAATTTGAAATACCAAAAGTTCCCGTTATATTCGTTCTTGGTTAGCATTAATCCAATGCAAACTTAAAATTAAATTATAGTTTAATTAAGAATAATCTTTAATAAATTTCATGATTATTTTGCAGGAGGTCCCGGTAGTGGTAAGGTGACATATTGTGATAATTTAATACAAGAAAGAAAGGGGATAACGCATATCAACATGATGGACCTTCTTCAGCAATATGCATTAGGAAATGGTTAGCACATATTTGTTTTATATTTGGAATATAAACAAGGAAAATATATATGTATATATGTCTCCAATGAGTG